TATTTTTAATCCTCACCCGAGGATATTTTTACATTTATCTTCAGACAGAGTAGGAGGTAGAGAGAGAGAGAAAAAAAAAACCATCTATGTGAGAGAGACACATCAATTGGTTGCCACCTGCACGACCCCAACCGGGGCCAGGGATGAACCACAACCGAGGTACGTGCCCTTGGCCGGAATTGAACCTGGGACTCTTTGGTCTGCAGGCCAACATTCTAACCGCTAAGCCAAACCGGCCAGGGCTATATGTCAATTTAAAGGTAACCAGGATGAGCTCCCGACTAGCTCAGTCGGTAGAGTATGAGACTCTTAAAGGTAACCAGGATGGGTCTTTCTGGGAATGGTCTAATAGTAAAAGATACCCCAAAATGTAATTTACCATGTAAACAGAATAACCAAATAGTCCTTGTAATAAATGCAGAAATAAACAATTTTATCCCCAACATTCTATCATGATTAAAAACTGTCAGCAAATTAGGAATGGAAAGGAATTTCTTTAACTGGATAAAGGTTAACTACCCAAACTCAACAGTAATCTACATGATTTCTAAAGGTGCAACCAGAGAAGCAGTTCCTTTTAAATCAGGATCAAGTCAAAGGTACCTATGAACAGCAATTCCACGTCTGGAAACCCCAGCTTGCACAGGCAGAAGATGAACACAGGAAGGGGGCCTATCCTGAGAACTTCTGGCTTTTAGATCCACGTGGTATCCTTCAGTTTCCAGGGCTTCACAACTTTCATTCATGTTACAAATATTTTGCAAGTATGCAGTATTACAATTTGGCTCAGCGGTTAGAGCGTTGGCCTGCGGTCCAGAGAGACCCAGGTTCGGTTCCCGCTAAGGGCACATACCTCGGTTGCCGTTTGTCCCCAGACCTGGTTGGGTCGTGCTGGAGGCAACCACTTGATGTGTCCCTTTCATGTCGATGTTTCTCTTCCTCCCACTCTATCTGAACAAAAATGGAAAAATGTCCTCGGGTGAGCATAAAAGAAAATTGTATTTTGGTTAGACACTTGAAAACACAGGCCAGAAAATATGGTAGAAGCAACAGATCTTAAATCAAGTTCTTTTATTTTTAAAATGGGAAATATTTAAAAGGTAAGAAGGCAGTATAAAGGATGCAAGATCCAAAATATAGATGAAAATGTTTGCTCAGCAGAAAAAGATTTCTTATCCAAAGTTGGCTGCTTCCAGACCCTGACAGAACCTCCCAAAAGACAGCTCTTTACCCTTGGAGGAATGGACAGACAGAACAGGGCTGGGCCGGGAGTCCAAGACACCGTGAAGCCTGCGAGGTGGGGCCCCTCTGTCTCCAGGATTCTCAGGAGCTTAGACCTCTATGCCTCTGGGTTTCTGGTTGGGGTACCCGGACTGAAGATTTGGGGTTAGGGGTGAAGAGTCAACGAAGCCACCGTTGAGGACAGTGGGCCGGAGAAGACCCTTCTTGGCCCCAGAATCCACCCTCTCTTGGCCTGTGAGATGCGTCTCCCCTTCTTGGTTTGCTTACCACACCCCAACCAAAGCTGATTCTTCGCTGCCAGAGCTAGGGACTTCCGCCAGAGGGCGCCCTTGCACCGTCGGTCGCGGGGTCTGCAAACTGCGATTCCCGAGCTGTCGATTTTCCCGGAGGGCTATCTAGCACCTTCCGGGTGTGGGTGGCCACAACCCTCCAATCCCCGACTAGGCTTGGTATTTACTTTCCAGCCTCAGGTCCTTGTCCGCCCCGCTCTGCCCGCTCAGTCACTGCGCCCACCTCGACGCTCTCCAGCCCTCGCCCTGGTCCCTCTCCCGCGCACTTGAGCCTGGGGGATTGCGCACCTCGCACCTGCTCTTGGGCTACCTCCCGCCACGACCCGGTCTTCCCCATCTCCTCTGTGGCCACGGACTGCTGGGTGAAGAGAGCTGCTTCCCTCAACCCCCAGCCAGGACATAGCCTCCCCGTTCCCCTGCACACACGAGTCGGAGGGAGAGCGCCTCCTCCTACTAGGGATCTCCCTACCTTCCCCCAGGATGGCCACTGACAACTCTGTTTCAAATGGTGCCCAGCCTCATGAGCCCCCTTGACGTCACTCTCCCGGTCTTGGCCGCTCCTACTCATCGCTCCCAGTTCCTTGGGGCAGAGAAGTCCTACCACGGGGCGCTCCTGCTCCCGCGGGCCTGGGATGTGTGTGAGCCGCTGTGGATCCGGCTGTTTTCTTAGATGCAAGGTCCCTCGAGGCTGACACCTCCCCCACTTCGTTCCTCATTCCCAGCTTGACCTGATTATTTTTCTGGCCAGGCCACACGGGTTCCTGGATCCCCGCCCCCATCCCAGGCCCGTCAGAGCGGGCTGTGGCGGGGTGGGGGAGGACAGGCAGAGCGCTTCAGCCGCCCAGGTCACTCAGGCCAACAGAACAGCTCAGCTCTCTCTTCTTGAGCCAAACCAGAAAGGCTTAGAACGCCTTCCTTCCAGCATGCTCATTCTCCCTGGGCTTGCATTGTTAAGCTTTTAACTCCAAGTGGATGACTTGGTCTACATTTAAAGGAATTTCAGGAATTATGTTCATGATAATTTTCTTTAGTCTCTGCAAGTTTCCTCAGTTCATTCCCTTTTATCTGAATACTCCACTCCCCTTTGCCTGCCCACTGGAGTTAGTCATTCAACTGTTTTCGTTTTTATGTGTTCTTGTCACCCCCCACCAAAGTGTGTTCTGCTGGCATGCATTTGAAATTTACATGAAAAGAAGTGTATTATTTCTCATTCAGTTTTTTTTTTTTTAATCCTCACCCGAGGACATTTTTCCATTTTTTTGTTCAGATAGAGTGATAGGGAAAGAGAGGAAGAGCGAGAGAGAGAGAGAGAGAGAGAGAGAGAGAGAGAGAGAGAGAAACATCGATGTGAAAGGAACACATCGAGTGGCCGCCACCCGCACAACCCAACCAGGGCTGGGGACAAACTGCAACCGAGGTACATGCCCTTAGTGGGAACAGAACCCAGGCCTCTCTGGTCTGCAGGCCGATGCTCTAACCACTGAACAAAACCGGCCAGGGCCCTCCCACTCTATTTGAAGATAGATGGAAAAATATCCTTGGGTGAGAATTAAAAAATAATACTAATAATGAATAAATAAATAAATACAATGAAATGGTAACAGCATAGCTAATTTGCAGAGTGAGGACTCACTTGGTCTAGGAACTTGATCCACATGCCAAGAGCCCCACAGCAGCCTAAGACAGGGCTTCTTACCTTTGTTTTACCCACAAGGAAAACAAAGTTCAGGAAGGCTTAGCCATTTCCACCACAGCCGTGGAGATAGGCAGTGACAACATTGGGATTCAAACCCAGCCTCAGCTAATACACCAGAGCCCATGCTCACCACGAGCTGTGCCGCCTCCATGTCCTGCCTTGCCCTTACGACCGAGCCTTATTTTAGGGAGAATTACAAGGAAATGAGAAGGAAGGACTGTGCCTGGGATTTCAGGCATGAAGGCATCTAACTAGTGCATGCAGGGTTATGAAACTCCACAGCAAATAGGTTTTGGCAAAAATGAACCCTGGTTCTAGGGGTCAGTCCTCAGGGCTTGCATATTTAGGTGGCAGGAAAGAGGGACTTTGGGTCTAGGGCTTTAGGAGCAGGGCTTTTGGGGTTGGATGTAAAGTAGGTTAGGGTCGGGCAGGAGTTGGGGATGGTCAGGAATTGGGTGGGAGTTAGAAGTTGGGTAGGGGCCGGGTGATTGGGTCTTAGCTGTGGGTAAAGCTGTCTATCATGTACCTTACTTGGTAATAGTTGATCACTCACTGTTTTGCTTGGAGGGGTAGAAGATGTGCAAACAGCCAGCACCCTGGGCATCAGGAATGCCACCTTTCAAGACCCTCCTGGGCTTTGAGCAGCTGGGACCATTTTGGAAACCATGGGTTACGCTTTTCCCACTCACATACTGTGCAAGCATCTCCTGGCACTAAGCCCCAGGCCCAAGCATTTCACAGTCAGAAGAGTTGACATCTGCAGGTTTTGAGATTTCATGACACACGACGTTTTTACATCTTGTCCACACCCATCCATCCTCTTTTTACCACTATAATTGTATCCGTGACAGAACATTTCTCCGAAGGCCTAGGGAAGCTTTCTGCTCTTTCTGTGGCCTTAGGGCTCAAAAGAACTTCTGAGCCTACAGAATGTTCTTAAGAGTTCAGTATAATATCTTATTGTTTCCTGAACTTTGCAAAGCACTTCACACATAGGTATTGCCTTTGACTAGACTCCAGGACAGGGTTGGGATCCACTTGGCACAGGCTCAAAATTATTAATTGGCCAAGGCCACACATTTCGTAGGTGGGTGAAATGGTACTTGTTTTTCTAGAACAGACCTCAGGAGACATAAAGAGTGGGCACGCTCTGAGAACCTCACTACCCTGTTCCGCCCGCTTTCCAGACAGGGATGTGGAGTGAGGCAGGAGCTAAGGTATCTAGGGAGTGGGGGAATATCTGGGCAGAAAGGTCTGGGAGCTGAGTTAGTTGAAGACTCATGGGGCTTGTGGCCAGCTGTCTTCTATTTAGGTTTCTGTCAGTAGGCCCTAGAGCTTGGGCAGGTGGAAAGAGGGGGTTGGTGGGAGAAATGCCAAGTCCAGGGGTACCCAGGAAGTTCTCAATGGGTCTGAAGCAGAGGCAGCTGCAAGAAAAAGATGCTGCCAGTTGCTAAGGGGGCCCCGGTGGTGTCGCCACATCCACACGGGAACTCTTGGTGCTTCGGCCAAGCTCTGCCCTTAGCCTTCTGCCTTGTCCCCTCTCCTCAAAGCCCCCGGCCCCCCATAACAAGTACCTGCAGCATCAGCCTGAGGGAGGTGCCCAGGGTCAGGCCCGCCTATCCTGCCAGCTCCTGCAGCATCACCCCCGCCTCAGCCAGTGCTAGGGGCTGGAAGTCTGGGCCTGCTGAAGCAGGAAGGCCCTGGTCTCACTGCCCTCCCTCTCCCCGGGCCTCAGGCCCTAGGCCAGGGCTCAACAGACACAGGCAGCGGGATGGGGTTGCCCTTCTATTGGTCCAAGGCCTGAGCGTAGCCTGGGTGAGACATGGAGGTGAGGAGGCCCAAGAGGCTCAGCAGCGTGGAGAACAGCAGCAGGAAGGAGGCGGCGAAGAGCAGAGCTGGGAGGGCACTGAGCACCAGCAGCAGGATGGCAGGCAGTAGATGGCGCCACGCTGCGGCCACCACGGGCCACAGGGAGCTCAGCAGGTGGGAGCCAGTAGTGAAGAGCGCGTGGCACAGCATCAGTGCCAGCAGTAGGTAGAGGATCCCTTCCAGACTCCACAGCATACGCTGCAGCGGTTGCCGCCAGCTTGATGTGGCCCACCACTGGGTCCAGCTCTGGGGCACATGGCACAAGCACCAGCGCACCCAACCTTGCCGCGTGACCCAGGCTGACCAGGGCACCGCTGGCTGGGGCCCCTCGCCAGCCCCGATGGCATCTGTCTCCATTCGAGGCTGCTGCATCACAGCTGGTGCACCTGGGGAAAGGGCTAGACCAGCTGCAGGAGCAGCCCTGGAGATGCCTGGGACTTCAGGGTAGGTGTGGGTGCAGGGTCAGGAGTGCACCAGTGTGGGTGGGGTGGGGCTTGGGGCTGGGGTCTGGGTCTTACCTCTGGGCGGAGGTCCCTAAGTCATGTTGCCTCCTGCAGGGCCCAGGACGGCCTGGCAGCCAGAGTTGAACCCCTCTTTCACTCTCCCTCCCCTCCCCAGAGGAGCCCCATTGTGACCCGGAGTGGGGTGGGGTCCAGCCAAGAAAGGAGCCAGGGCAGGGTGTGGACCCTTCGGGCTGGCAAGGGAGCCTGGGGAGCCCACAGATGTAGTGTCTCACGCTTTCTTGTGGAAAGCCCCTTTGGATCCCTGTCCCCTCCCCGCTGGCTGGTGGCGAGTCCCACTCCACTCTCTTGCAAGTCTTTCTCTCTGGACCTTCATTCTTTAGAACCACAGAGGAGGCCAGAATGGCCAGCCCCGATCTGCAGCTTCTGAGATGGCTGCCACATCCTGCCCTGGGCTCCCTGTCCCTTATCTCATCTCACCTTCTATCACTGTGGGAGGTCCCTGGAGACAAAGGTGTACCCTCCCACCTGCCCAGCCCAGGATGGAGCAAAGGAGGCCTGAAGAAGCAGCATGGCCAGTGTATTTCTGGAGGCCAGTCAGGCCCAAGGATAGAGGCAGAAAGCCAGGCCAAGCAGGGCCAAGGGCATGCCGCGGGCTCCCAGGAACAGCTCCAGGCCCAGGAGCAGCAGCAGCAGAGCCTCCTGAATGCTGAGTCGTCCTGTGACTGCCGCTGTCTGAAGGAGCAGAGCCTCCTGCTGTCTTGGACCCTCACCAGCCCCCTGACTTTGGCTCCCTGTGAGAAATGCAGGCTGTGTCCGGGTGGGACCTGTGGGCCTGTGGAGAGAGAGGGTAGCAGCTGGGCCTCAGGGGCTGACCACTTGCTCACTTGCCTGCACCGCCCACCTGCCAGGCTGCTCCCATGTACCTGTGGAGCAGGTCGAAGGCCAGGAAGCTGACCAGGAGCAACAGCAGCAGCAAGGGTGGGCCAGCCATGGAAAAGACTGCCCGAATTGTCAACCCCAGTGCTCCCAGCCCTAGGACACTGTCCAGGAGCTGGGCCGGGCTAGGGCCCCAGGAGAACACACATGGACCCACTGAACCACCCAACCCCTCCCCAGCACCCAGGCCCCTGGGAGGGACATGGATAGGATAAGCGAGAGCTTCAGGCCTAGGTGAGCAGAGCTGGGTCATGGAGGGAGGTGGAGGTTACAGGAAGGTTGCTGGAAGGGAGTATGGGAGGTAGGAGTGTGGGAGGGGATGGCAGACATTCAAGGATGAACTCAGGGAGTGAAGAACTGGGCTCCTTGGGAATCTCCCCTTCCCACATACCCACCCACCCACAAACCCTCTTCACCTCCTCCCACTGTGGTCAGCCATTCTGCGACTGGGCAGCTGGGGCATTGTGACCTCTTGCCAGGTGGGGCTCTGGGGTAGGGAGGGGCTGCTGCTGGTCTGGCCTCATAAGCAGCTAGTGGCTCAGGTAGGACTCAGCCAGAGGTCAGCTGTTTCTGAGATTAAGACTCACCCTCTTGCTTCTGCTAATTTTCTGCCCTAGGGCCCTTCCACGGGGACCTGAGTTGCCAAGAAAGCATTCTAACCCCATCACTACATGGGTGGCTGACCAAGGGAAAAAGGGCTGCTTTCTTTTTCCTGCGGGTATTGGAGCTCTGTCCTGGGGCAAGTCATTCAATCTTCCTGTCCAGTGCTCTCTCCCCTGAGAGTAGGGTGATGCCCGTGGGCCCTCGAGGTGGATTTTTCAGGACTGCAGCCCAGGAATGCAGAGATGGACCGTCAGGAAACCACCAGAGGCTTTCCAGGGCTGCGCTCACCGGTGGCCGGCCACACGGGAGCGGGGCAAGAGGCAGCTGTTTAAGCATTTTAAGTACTATGGTTTGTAGGAGGTGGTAGGGATACTGGGATTCTAGAAATAGCATAGAGGACTACAACATAGTAACCCCCAAAACCAAAGGTTAGAGTTACTCTCTCAGAATGAAATTAAGAAAAATAGCCCTGGCCAGTTTGGCTCAGCGGTTGGAGCATTGGCCTGTGGACCAGAGTCCTGGGTTTGATTCCTGCTAGGGGCACATACCAAAGAAAAGAAAGAAAGAAAGAAAGAAGAAAGAAAGAAAGAAAGAAAGAAAGAAAGAAAGAAAGAAAGAAAGAACATGTAATGAAGGGATCGATCACCTAGGTAAAAAAAAACCTACACCCATTGATAGTCTGTATTTGGGTGATGGTTCCAACACATCTCAGTTTAGTGACTTGAGAGGCCAGAATAGAAATGGATCATAATTGAGAGAACTTAATCCTTGTCCACATATCATACTTCGAAGGAAAACTGGAACTTCGAAGGGCAAGGGGACAGTGGCTGTATAGCCCCTCGTAGAGGAGAGAGAATCAGGCTGCATATCTGCCTCCAGTGGGCCCTGGCCAAAGACTCAAGCTTAGTGGCTTTGACATCTTTGGTGGTGATGAGCTCAACAGCCCATGGAGCCAATGCCACCAGCCCTCGGGACCATTTATTGATTGCCTTTACTCTGCCTCTTCCCAGAGCAATAAAGCAGTGCCCACAAAATTAAGGAGGAAAATGATTTTCAACTTCGAAACACATATCTGTTCAAATGCTTTCAAGTATGAAGGCAGAATAAAGACTTTAAGCCATACAAGGTCTCAAAAATGTGATTTTGCATACACTTTTCTTAGAAAGTTACTGGAGGATGTGCTTCAGAAAAACAAGGAATTAAACTAAGAAAGAGGACAGTATGGGATTTAAGAAGTGAGGCTAAACACAGAAGAGAAATGTTGAGCAAGGCCTGGGACATCAGCTGGCTCCCAGGTAAAGACAGCAAGCAACCCAGCCCGAAATCTAGAAGAAAATAAAATAAATTATCTGTTTTTAGACATATTCAAAATAAATGTTCAGTTCTGTTGGAAACTTTGGGATTGAGTTGGCAATTGGTGCCTAAAAAACCAAGCAAATGATAAAACAAAGTAATGACTAACTCCAGGGAGCACAAAGTTGAACAATATGTTTACATGGTCATAACATAAGCTCTGCATATTGACCCACGTTATTTGGCTCTTTTGGGAAAATGGAAGGAGGAGAAGTGTATGTTTGTGTATTTGATGTATATGGGTGGGAGGATAGGTGAAAAGCTAGATTCTTAATTCCATAGCAGGAAATTCACAGATAACATCTAAACATAGACAAATCAAGAAATAACAATAGAAGCATAAAGGCAAATACAAGGAAAAATAGCACAAAGAATTTAAAGTGGTTGACTTGGGAATGAAGAAGCATAGAAAAGTCTTCTGCCTAGCCAGTGTAGCTCACTGGTTGGGCATTGACCCATGCACCAAGAGGTCACTGGTTCAATTCCCAGTCAGGGCACATGCCCAGGTTGTGGGCCTGATCCCTAGTGGGGGGCATGCAGGAGGCGGCCAATTAATGTTCTCTCTCATCAATGTTTCTATCTCTCTCTCCCTCTCCCTTCCTCTCTCTCTAAAAATTAATAAAGACAAAAAGAAAAGTTTTTTATTACAAACCTAAATGAGAATTACCTCTAAAATTATATTATAAAGTATTTTGATAATAATCTAGTTTTTTTTTTTTTTTAAAGTAAATCAACATAAGGTCATATTGTGGAGATCAGAAATACTTCTTCCCAGGGTAAATGAAATACCAATTTCCTAATGTTATGTGGATGTATTCTTGTGGCTTGAGATGATATTTCCAGTGACAGCATCAAATACCATAAAATTCAGAAAGTTGTGAATCTCATGCATTTTAAGTGCAGGTGCTCTGAACCTCCATCTAGTACTTCTCGGCCTTTAATGTGCACACGCCTCTCCTGGGGTTGAGTCCTCTTGGGACCTTGTTAAAATGCAGGTTCTGATTCAGAAGGTCTGGGGCAGGGATTCTGCATTTCTAACAAGCTCCCAGGGGAGCTGATGCTGTTGATCCCTGGCCACACTTTCAGGAGCAAGGCTCTCTAAGACACTGATACACAAAAGAGGGACAGCTTGGGGAGGTGGTGGTGAGAAGAGGATGGGCCATGGGAGTCCTGCACCATAGGGGGAGCACCTAGTGGGCAGTGAGTTCTGCCTCAGCACCAGGACAGATTAGTAGGCACAGGCAGGCAGTAGATTTCACTACTTTTCTATTTGTGCAGCCAAACACATAGCCTCCTTTTTAAATATTGTTCTAGCCCATCCATGTATGTGGGAGGAAGAGGACTGTGTTAAGCTGTTTTCCTCCATCTTTAATTCATCTGGTTAACGTCAGGGACCTTTGGAACCACTGATCATCTCACTTTACCATCACAGTAACCCTGGGAGGAAAATATATCATTCCCATTTTACAGATGAGGAAGCTGAGGTTCAGAGGTGAAATTACTTTCCAAGGATACCCAAACAAATAAACGGCAGAAACCCTGTGTGAAATTAAACCAGTGTGGCTTCGAGGTCATTTATCCTCTCCACTTCCAGCCACCTGACCACACCAGAGAGCTGGCAGGAAATTCCCAGCCTATCCCTTAAACCAAGATCCCGTTAGGCAGGTGTCCCCACCCAGTCTGGCTCAGGTGTGCTTGCCAAGTAGCCTTGCCCTTGTGAGGCTACGGAAGATTTTCTACCTGCTCCTGGGGCTAGAGACCTGGCTGTGCCAGTACTTGAGTGCAGACCTGTTATTGCCCCCCAGGAGCTGCCACCTCCAGAATGTGCTTCCAGGCTTCGTGGCATTGCAGCCCCAGGTACCCAGTAGCAAGGGCCAAAGGCAACAGCCTGGCTGGGAGCACAGTGGGGTGTGAGGGGATGAGGAAGTTATACAGTGGCATGAGAAGGTGCTCAGGGGCTCAGGGGGCTTAGAGGGATGTAAAGGGGCCCTAAAGGTTGCAATAGGGCAGGGAGACAAGGGGTACAAAAGGGTAAGACGAGGGATGTGGGTACCTGGAACACAAAAGGTATTCATGTTCTGCAAATCCCAGCCTCTAAGAGAATGGTGGGAGGTGGTCAACATGCCCTGTCCTGCCAGTCCCTTTGTGGGGGTGGGTGTCCCAGTTCATGGCCTGACATCTCCCCTCCCATAAAACCTGGTATGGTTAGGAAGGGTCAACCTCCCTCCAGCTCTGCTTGTTTCTCTCTAACACTGAATGTATTACACATATACTTTTTGATCACTGACTAGGGACCAGGCACTTTTCCTAGGCCCTGAGGTGCAATTGTGAACATTTGGGTGCAAATGGCTCTCTCAGAGGGTTGCTTACCTCCTGCTGCAGGGGAGGAGGGACCTGACAGTGAACACATAACAAATTAAACAAGATAATCTGTCCTGTTGAGTGCCTGAAGACAACATAGTAAGACAGGGTGAGAGGACAGAGTGTGTGTAGAGGATGGAGCTTACTTTCAGCAGAATGGTCAGGGAAAGCCCTTGGAAGCAGGTGACACTGAAAGGCCATCTGAACGATGAGGGTGCAAATCTGAATGATGAGGTGAGACAATGCAAAGGCCCTGGGGCTGGATGGAGTGGGTGCATTGGAGAACAGCTAGAATGCCTGTGTGGTTGGAGGGATGTGAGCATGGAGAGATGAGGTGGGAAAGGTGTGGGTGGAGAACCTTGTCATGAAGGGTCTTGCAGGCGAGGGCCTTAAGCCAGAAGGAACTTGACAGGATTTGGCTGCTGTGAGGGGACCGACTTGGAGGGAGTGGGCGTCTCAGGAGGCTGAGCTGTCCTAGTCCTCACACTCCTCTGCAAAACTTGGATGGTGGTGGGTGCCAGAGACAGGACAGTGGACAGACTGGGCTTTGTTCAGACCTGCTTCTCACTCCACAGGAGCCTGTCCTGGCTTTCCATCCCCCATCCCCTCCCCACTGCAGTACCATCCTTCTGCCCCTGACCTGGTTCGCACTTCAGGCTTTGGTGCGGTGCCCCTACCCTGAGTTTTTCTAAGTGCCCCACTGGTGCCTGGGTCCAGACGCGGTGCTCCAAGTGGGTCCTGTCCCAGTTGCTCCCGTTAGGGCTGTGGTAGGCAGTTAGACAGGCATGAGCAGATCAAGGACAATGGGCCAGGTACAGAAGGTCACCAGGACCGAAAGCCCTGGGTGCCTAGCAAAGAACAATTGTAGGGTAGAACCTTGTCCTCAGGGTGACCTTTCCTCCCCTAGCATTTGGTTATGTGGTTTGGACCCCTGAC